CTTAAGTTCTACCATACTTAGGAAATAGGAAATTGGCGAGGACTGCAGCCTCTTAAGTGCAAATACATTACAGGCCATAACTCCTTCCCTTTTTTTTTTCGCTCCATACCATGACCAGGGCTGGGTCCTAGAACCCCAGCGCCGCCTCATTGCAGTTCATCTGCGCCCCTATCTCCATCACCTTGTGATACCCGCCACTTTTGATTCTCTTGATCGCTTGGATTGGAGACAGCGGCAGCTCTAGTGGAGTGATGGGGCTGAGCGCAGGCATGGTCTTGAAGCTTCTCTCAGGGCTTCCAGGAGGTGAGCAGCGTTCCTTTGACAGCTTACCAGGTCTCCCCTCTCCCGTTCCCAGCGACATTTCTGTGAGTGAACTTAGGCTCGGAATACCTTCAGTGTCCAAGCCATCATTCACCCATTTGTCAGCAGGAAAGGGGAAGTGAGTTTTAATGCTATCTTCTGCAAGATGAGATTCATATTTTCCAGCTGGGAGTCCTTGAAAAGGATCAACCACCTCTTGAGGGTCAGATGGATCTGCCACCAAATTTGTTTAAGGTCAGACCACATCACATTATTGAAAATCATGGAGTTTCTAAACTTCCAAATGCACCACATTACACAAGCACATACTGAATTTAAGACCAAGTGCTTTTTTTGTGCTGGCCAATATTTGGCCACTGATAGGTAAGTGGTACCTAACTCAAGAGAGAAGATATCAGAGACATCTATCCAGAGCTGCTTAGCCACTACACGGTGGAAAAGCAGATGGTCTACTGTTTCATGCTCATTGCAAAATAAGCACTCTGGGGTTTTTACAATGCCTCTTTTAAAAAGATTATCTTTAGTCATCAGTTTATTATGAGAAAGCAACCATAGGAAAACTTGTATGCGTGGTGGGACTACTATAGTCCATACAGAAGGTATGAAAACAGGCTGCACACCTCGAAAGTTAATCACATTATAAAGAGAACTAGTGGAGTAAACCCCATTATTCGCATACTGCCAGATCAAAGAGTCCTCTCCATCAGAGAGCACCGTGTTCCTTATTATCTGCTCTAGGCAGTACCAATCTTCCATCATGGCAGCTGAGAAAGTCCTCCTAAATGTCAATTTAATATTTGTGCCATCCCAGGTTTCAGCCATAGTCACCCCCTGCTGATGGCAGATCGTGTACAATGGCCAGAACTGCACTGACAAGGGGGGTGTGCCAAACCAAATATCCTCCCAAAGTCTAATTTTAGTACCATCTCCTATTTGCCATCTATAGCCAAACTTCAGAGCTTTAGCAGCCCACATAACACCCTGCCAAAATTTGGAGGCATTTTGGGTGCTAGCAGCAAAGATGTTTGGGTTCTTTTTAATGTACTTATTATCAACTATATCTCTCCAGATTTTCCCTCCATCTTGTGTGTATCTTCTCACCCAGGTGCCCAAGAGGCACATGTTAACATCTTTAATGTTTGGGATACCTAAACCCCCATACTCCGTCTTCATACAAACTAGATGCCAGTTAGCAAGGTGCAACTTCCTGTTCCCCTCAACGTCACTCCAAAGGCAATGAGCAAGTTGACTATTGATCAAGTCAAGTGCCCATCTAGGGAATTTAAAAAAAATAGCAGGTAAACAGGTATACTTGCAAGGCATGTTTTGATCAAAACAATTCTAGCAGAGTAGGAGAGTAACTTGCCCCTCCACCCTCCATTCTTTTCAGGATTTTATCTATAAGAGGTTGAATGTCCTCTCTGCTAAGCTTGTCGTAGTGAAGTGGTATACCTAGATATTTTATGGGGAATGTACCCACAGTACAGCCCATGATGTGTTGGAAGGGTTCAATTTCCCCTTCAGGAAGCCCTAATGGTATGATCTCACTCTTTGAATAGTTAATCTTCATACCAGAAACATTCTCAAAACAGGTTAAATTAGTTTTAAGCTTAGCTGCTTTTTCAATGTCATTATCAAGGAAAAGGATTGTGTCATCTGCATATTGCAAGCAGATG